CCATGGCCAATCAGAAACCAGAGGGCAGGGATATTCAACCCATAAGGGTCGGGCTCCAGGATACAGAGGGCTGAGAAGGATGGAGAGTGGATGGGGTGCAAATAGACAAAAACCAGCACAAAGTTTAGATGGGGTCATATCTGGTAGTTGTCTAGGACATAGTAGGTGACCAGGAAATGCTGGCTCTCTGGGGCTGGTGAGCAGCCTCTGGCTATCCTGAGTCCAGTGTCTCCCCAAGTGTCCTTGGGCATGCTTTCATAACAGTTTCACAAACAGTGTCTTATGTTTACAAATGGAATATCTCAAGCCAAAGCCAATTTCCCAGGGTCAAAATGAAAATGAAATCACAGAGTAGAGGCAACAGTGATGAAGGGATCTGGGTCGCAGGGGGACCCATGAACTAAGAATAAGGCTTATCAGAAGATGCTGAGTCTACAGAGCATAGGAGTAAGAACAAACATGTTGAAAATTAAATATGAAATGGATAATTATGTAGTAATGAGACTGAGGACATTACAAAGGACGCTGTCATTTAAACCACCACATCTCAACACAGTAATGAACGGGAAAAACCCTCCAGCTTCGTAATTATAATCATAGTTGCCATAACAACTTAGTATCTCTCTCTGTGAGCATCTATCTCAAGACTATATTTTTAGCAATGACTGTGTCTGAGCATGTATTTTTCTTTATATAGCAGCTAATTTTTCAAATTACTGATCTTAAAAAAAAACAAACCCACAATTCCATCTTCATTCTCTCTAAGTGTAAAGTCTCCGGGATAATTAGGGAAATGAGCAGGTGTGAAAGTCCGTTATGAAAAATGCTATAAAAGTATTGATGTCTTGACAACATTTGTTTCAACAGAACGTCCTCTGGACCTGTACACTCTATATTGTTCCTTGTCAAGCAGCTTTAACATAAATCTTTGCTGTGTGGCTCATAAATATTTGAAAAATTATTAGCTCTGTAAGGTGTTTGAAGATTATTTGACAAGTGCAGATTTATGTTGTATAACAGAAATTGGCTTAATGGAATCCTGAGTCTCAGGAATGAATGAATGAATGAATGAGTAAATAAACATTGGCTTACCTTGCTTAACAGAAATGCACGTACCAGGTTCCTAACTGAAGCCAACAATGGGTTGACTTTAAAGGTCACCATTTTAAAAACTCAGACAAACCCAGGAGGGATTCTGAGCTGCCATTTTGGTTTCCAAGTGTGTCCCCCCCCCCACCAGCTGCTACACCCTGCTGGAGGGTTTGGTTTTATAGTGTGGCAAACGTCCAAGAAAAGTTAACACTTTTTACCAAGCTCCACTTAAGACTCTTGAGAGATATGAACAGCCCTTTGTTAGGATCCCAGACTTAAGCTAAATAAACAAATTATTAGGTTGAGGACAAAAAGATCTCAGAAAGAGCCCTCTTTGACGATGCTACAAAAAACCCTTTGCCAAGATTAGGCAAGCAACGAGAATTTATTGAGAAGTTTCTGTTCTTGTACTCCTGTGTTTCTGTGGAGGATGTAAAATTAGCAGATTAGAGTAATTGCTGGTTTATAAAGAGCTTATAGACACTGTGTAAGGGGAAACGAAGAGCATGCCGTATTGCTTGCGGCCATGGGTGAACCGGGAGAGCTCAGTGTGGGTGAGCAGGTGAACCTGAATCCTAGGCGGAGGGATTAGGTGGGATTGGTATAGGACAGCAATATTATAATTTGGTGTCTTAGGGAGAAAACTCAGTAGCTTCTCCGGTGGGGTGGACAGCAAGACATAGAGGCCAGAGGCAAGGAGGCCTGCTGGGCAGGTGTTCCAACAATCTGGCCCGGGGTTCTGACCAATGGGAACAGTGTTCCCATTGCCAGAGGGAACAGAGGAAGAGGTGAGTTCAAGAATATGTGCCACCAGAAGCACTAGGACTTCCTGGGATGTCAGATGCAGTAGAAGGTAAACCATAAATGGGACCAAATCTTGATCTGGGGACCTGAAGATGAGCAGAGGCTCCGGGGCCAATGGCTGGGTTGAGAAGCAGGACGATACTTGGGGATGAAGAGAATGAGTGAGCTTGGCCATCCTGCCTTCTTAAACTTCACTGAATGCTGGCTGTGCCCAGCTCATTTTCAGGCGAGCAGCCCCAGAGGGAGGGATTTGGAGGGAGACAAAGGCAGCTCCAGAAACTGTGCAGGAGGCTGTGATGTGTTGGGAGAATTGGCGTCGATGCAATCAATTCTCGTTCTCTTTGTTCTGCTTGCTTTAATTATGTGTCTCTCGGTGGAAAACAAACAAGCAAGCCATTCAAGGGAGAAGAGTGATTAGTGGGATTTGTTTCCTGATTTTAGGGATGTGTTGAGCCTCACGTTTGAGTGGGGGCATTCTCTAAACGTTTACCAGACACTGCAGAGAACGTGTGTTATTTTATTTGCCTGCGAGGTGCCAGAAAAGTGAAATGTTTTCAGGACTTATGTGTTTGGGGTTACCAGGATTCATACTGCCCGACTTTAATGATTGGACAAAGGTTAGTCCTGACTGTCTTAGTTTGTGTCCTCGGGTGAGTCTGGGCTTCAGTTTCCTCCTCTGTAAAATGGGAGAGAGAAGGTCAGTCTCAAGTTTTCCCTGTATCAGAATGATTTGAGGAGCTTCTTAGACATGCCCATGATCAATCCCACCTCTCAAAAAGTTCTGTGAGTCTGGGGTAGGGCCTGGGCATCTGCATGTTTAGCAAGCCCTGGGGGCTCCGACGGAGTTGGCGCAGGGTGCCACCCTGTCTGGGTGGGCTCTAGGTCCCTTCTGGTGAGGATTCTAGGCGATCCTCATGCTTGGGCTTCATATAGCTAGCTGCAGCTTCTGAGTGCATCACTTGCTGCTGTTTTGCCACTGAAGCCCTGATTTGTTGTCTGGAGGGTCTGGCTTCAGATAAAAGAGCCCCATATGAGTGAGCCCTGGGGACATATCAGGGGTGAGCGTGGGCCAGGATACACAGGGGCTCATGGACCGGGCCCAACCAGGCCTATGTGGAGAGTGGTGGGAGGGAAGGGGGCCTTCCTCCTCTGTCACTCGGAGACCTCTGCTGGCTCTAGATTCTGGAATTTTCAGCAGATGTGGGGCCTGTTGATAGTCAGGTGCAAGGCTTCCTGGCCCTTAGAGACAGGGCAGGGTCCTGTCTCAGCCTGTAGCCTCCTGTTCTCACTCTGGCCATTGTCTTTGGTCTGTGACCTGGGACCCCAGAAGACCTGTGTTAAAGGAGGGTCTAGTTAGGCGGCCTGTGTGGGGACCATGAGAGAAAATGAGGTGGCAAATGGAGAGGCCAGTGGCGGAGGATGGCAGCTGCCTGGCCCAAGCCCTGCCCACTGTGTAGGCTCATAAGTGAGACACCAGGGAAGTGCGGAGGCCTTGCCCGGATGCCCAGATTCAGCTCAGTGGTATCCTAGGATGTCTGGTCCCAAGGCGCTGGGAAGGTGCTAGCTCAGTCCATCCCTGGGGTAGACAGAAGGCCCCTAAAGACCTCCCTAGCTGAATCCTCGGGACCTGTGAATAGGATACATGGCAAAAATGAATTGTACAGATGTGACTGAAGTCGATATTTTAAGAGGGGATTATCCTGGATGACCTGGGTGGGCCCATCTAATCACAGGGGCTCTGTCGCCAACTGGAAGGAGGGAAGATGTAAGATGGGGGAGGTCAGAGAGATTTGAAGCCATGGATGTGGAGGGGGTACTCAGTGTGCCAGTGCTGGCTCTGAGGTGTCAGGCCCACATAAAAGGACCAGAGAAAAGCTGCTAGAGCTCCTCATGGAAAGCGTGAGAAGGAATGCAGGCAGGCAGGGGCAGTCAAGACTGGCGGTGCTGACGGCCAGCAAGTACTGACCGCTTCCGCCGGGTGGAACTGAGCTGGACCTGCACCCCATGTGAACCTGAGAGCAGGTTCTTCCCCAGACGCTCCACGGGGGAGTGCAGCCAGCTGAGTTTAGTCTAGCGACCCAGCTCACACTTCTAACCTGCAGAGCTGTTAACATAACAAATACGGGTTGTTTTAAGCCTCTGAATTTGCAGTGGTTTGTAACAGCAGCGGTAGGAAAGCCCTGCAGGCTTCTATTCTCCAGTCCCAGCCCGAAGGACCAAAACAAAGTGGTCCAAGGACAGAAGTACTTTCTCAGACAAGCTCCCTGCCAACTAGAAGACCCCCCCCCGCCCCCGCCCCTGGGCAAACCCTACTCCTTGGACCAACCAAATGTCCTCTGTGACTTTCAGGATGGCAGCCCTGGGGTAACTCCGCTTTCTGCTTTCTCCGTCTTGTCCCACAGAGGCCCTGTCTCAGGAGCTGGGGCCCTCCAGGGTCAAGGAAACTTGACTACCCCGGACTCTGGGGACTCGCGGGGCCTCAGGAATTCCTTATTCACAGTTCCTGAAATAGGATCATGGTCAAGCTGAGCGAGAAAACGGTTGTACGGCCAGTGGAGAACCGGTGCCCGCTGTGGGGCCAGGGACGGAGAAGGGGTCGGGAGGGCTGGAAGCGAGGCTTGGGCCACCAACTCGCTCCGGGACGCGGGGCCGTCCTTTGAGCTGGCGGGGCCGCGCGTGTGCCACCTGCCAGCCCGCTCGAGCTTCCTCCTGGGAGGAAACCCCTTGGAGACTGTGGGGTCGCAGGCGCCCAGCGGGGCAGCTCCCGGCCGGGCGTCGGGGCGGCGGGGCGGGGACCGGGCCGACACCTGCCGCCCGCGGGCCTCGGGGTCAGCGCGCGGGGAGGGCAGGCGGGAGGGCGGGCCCGGCCCCCTGCGCCCGCCCCGCTCGCGGCGCGCCCCCGCCCGCCCCCGGCCCGGCCCAGCCCCGCCCGGCCCAGCCCCGCGGGCCGGCCACACGCGCCCCGGCCGCCGCCTCCCGCGCCCCGCGCCCCCGCGCCGCGCCGCGCTGCCCTCCGGCCCTCCGGCCCCCCGCCCCGCCGCCCGCGCCCGCGCCCGCCGCCCGCCCGGCGCTCCCGGCGCCCGTGACCCTGCCCGGGGCGCGGGGCGGAGCGGGCATGGCCCGCCGGGGGGCCTCCGCGCTGGCCCCGGCCCTGGCCCTCGCGCCGCTGGCGGTGGTCCTGGCCGCGCTGCGCGCCCAGGGCGCGGCCCTGCAGGCCCCGGACCCCCACGCGCAGGAGACCTGGAGCCGCGAGCCCTACTACGCGCGCCGGGAGCCGCGGCCCGAGCCCTTCCCGCCGCCGCTGCCCGCGGGGACCGGGGCCGGGGCGCGGGAGCCAAGCCCGGCCGAGCCCAGGCCGCCCCAGAAGGCGACCAAGCCCAGGAAGGCGCCCGGGACCGCCAGGTTGGCTCCGCAGACGCCGCCTCCAGGTAAGGAACTGGGCGCGCGGGGCGGCCCGCCCGAGGGGTGCCCGTGGCCGTGCGCCTGTCCCTGCGGCGGCTCCCGGGCGGCTGTGTCGGGGACCCCGGAGCCCGCGACCCCCCGTGACCCCCCGCCCCGCGCCCCGGGGGCTGGGAGCCCGCGCACGCGGAGGGACCGAACCTCCCGGACGGCCTGGGCCCCGCAGGTGGAGGCGGAGCCGCGCGGCCCGGAGCTGCAGGGACCCGGCTGGGCAAGGCGCTTTCTGCCCGACGCCCCTTAGAGCCTTCCTGCAGGGCGTTTGCTTGGGAGTGAATGTAGGGTCTGGCCCCGTGAAGGGCTGGCCTGCTTTGGCATAGAGGCCTCCTGGGGGAGAGCTCAGCAGTGAGCCTTTCCCGAGCAGGGTCCCCTCTCCACCTCTCCGCTCACTCCGGCTTCCTGGGGTCCCCCCCCCCCCCCGCCCCGACGGCACAGCCCCTGGCGGGGAGGCTCCAGCGCCCGTGGGGAGGGCGCTGCAGATGGAGGGGAAGCCCGCGGCCTGGCAGCCTGCAGCGCCAGCCGCCCTCCCAGCCGCGCACACCCTCCTCTCATCCATCGCCCCTGCCAGCCCAGTCTTGGCAAATGACTTCCATTCGGTTTCACTCCTTGCAAAGGGGAGCGGGGAGACTTTCTCTTAATTGTTCCAAATGTTCTTTGCTCAAATTGCAGAGGGCTGTGGTCCTAGGATTTCAGGACTGGGGAGCGCGCAGGAGTGTGGCCAGATTCCCCGGCCTCCTAAATGGCCTTCCTTGAAAGGAGATCCATGCTGGTGGCACCATTACGGGGCTCCTGGCGCGCAGGGAGGGATTGCTTTTGTTTGGTTCAACTCTTGAGAAAGTCAGCAGGAGGCAGCGTGGGGCGGGGGGAGGTGGGGACACAGGACTCCTGAGGGTGTGCACCCAGCTCAGCAGCCCCTCTGCGCATGTGTGGAGGTGGGGGGCGACCTGCCAGGCTTCGCTGTGTGAGCAGCTTGCGGATGGGCAGGCAGTTCTGTGAGTTGTGTAACCTTCAACAGAACCATCCAGAATTTCCCATATCTTCTGGGGAATCATGGGAATTAAGATGTGTCAAACCACAGTGGTTTAATGGCAGAGCGATGAAGAGACAGCCCCGTTTGTAGAGCATCTGCTGTGCCTGTTAGGAGCTCGATGTACAACTGTCTCATCTACTCCTTTCAGTGGCTCTGAGGGAAGGGTGTTCTTTTTCTTTTACAGATGAGGAACCGTAGGCGCTGACAGTTTAAGTAACTTCGTGTCGCTCTCTGGCTTGGGAAATTTGAAAGCCCTTCTGTGCTTCAGGGCCTTTTGTGTTTGGTAGTTTGAGTCAGATTTGCATGTGTTTTTGGTTTTGGTGTCTGCTGTGTGATTAGTGCGGTGCTGGGCCTGGTGGGAGGGAGACACATACGTCGGGTTCTGGGGCTTGGTGCGGGGAGGGCACGGGGAAGGTGGAGGGAGCCCCGGACTGAGCCTGGAGACCATGCGTACTACCCAGGTCTGGGGCTCTGCACTCAGCTTCCTGGGACTTGGTGTCTTCGCCTTCAAAGGAAGCCTGTACCTGCTACCTCTCTTTGCCTGGTCAGTCGCTTTAAAAGCTTTTCCACAAAAGCTTCCAGTGTGTTCGCTGATAGCTGTGCTCGTCCACTCATCTGCAGGTGCTTACCAAGAACCTGTTCAACACCAGGTGCTGGGTGAGGTCCTGAGGCAGAGAGCACGGGTCGTCCTCTGCCCCTGTTACCATGCAAAGGTTGGCGGGGAGGCGGGGGTGGGGGGGCTTTGAAAAAGTCATCACAGTGCTGAGGGCTGGGTCACTGAACTCCAAACTGGAAAAAAGTTCTTGGAAATTCCAGAGACTCAGCTTCAAGGCATTCTGGGAGAGCTGCTTCCCCAGGCCTGCCACTCTTTCTCATGACCTGGGTTGGCTTGTAAGAGCCCCCCCCCCCCCCCCCCCCAGCTAGGACAAGCAAGGTGGGACACTTATCCCAGCTTAAAACTCCTGTCTTCCTTTTTCCTCCTGTTTTTGGATGTTTGGCCAGTGGAACCCTCCATCCCTGGACCCTTAAGTGGAGGAGACTGGTCTAAGAATGCCTCCATCTGGGACGCCTTGAGGGGCTCAGCAGTTGAGTGTCTGCCTTTGGCTCAGGGCATGATCCCGGGGTCCTGGGATCGAGTCCCACATCGGGCTCCCCACAAGGAGTCTGCTTCTCCCTCTGCCTGTGTCTCTGCCTCTCTTTCTATGTCTCTCATGAATAAATAAATAAAATCTTTTAAAAAAATGTGCAGTGGATATCACATGTTGACATTCTCCTGGAGGTGGCTGGGACAGCTGAATCCCTTCGTTAATTGAGGCCACTGCATTTTTCCATGAGGGGCTGACAGATTCCCAGAGAAACAGAGCTCTGATATGCTCAAGAGAGTGGGATCTTTTTTTTTTTTAAAGATTTTATTTATTTATTTATGAGAGACACACACACAGAGGCAGAGACCTGTATGTGTGTGTGTGTGTAAGTTCTCTGCAGTTTTTTCACATGTACCGATTTCTGTATCACTCTTACCATCAGGATACAGAGGACCTCTTATTTGTTTACTTATTTATTTTATTTTGAGAGAGAGTGCACTAGAGAGCACAAGCTCAGGTGGGGAGCAGAGTGAGAGGGAGAAGCAGACTCCCCGCTGAGCAGGGAGCCGGATGTGGCTCTATCCCAGGACCCTAGAATCATGACCTGAGCTGAAGGCAGATGCTCAACCGACTAATCCACCCAGGTGCACCTGAGCACCTCTTTTTTTTTTTTTTTTTTAGATTAAATGGGACTCACTATTGGACAGTTTCTGAGGTCCTCATTGTGAACATCAGTTAATCCCCAAATTTCAGGACTTGGAGGAAACCACGTGGTCATCACATGCAAATTCTTGTTGACTGTAGGATTCCAGCACTGGGCTGTCTCATCTCTACTCACATACTTCCACCAATGGGCTCTTCACACCTCGTTCACTGGATGAGCAGTATTGATTGCTAGAGTGTTCTTTCGTCGAGAGACCTGACTACCTGCTTCTTTCTCATTCCATTTATTCAGCTGTTCCTAGCCAAATTCAATAGTTTCTAGGTCTTTGCAGTTGGAATGCTTTGGGATCCAGAGACTGAGTCCCAGGTCCCCAATTTCTGTGATCCCAGCACAAGGAATAAGATAGGGACCGCGTTTTTGGCATGTGGGTGGATTTAGGGTGTACTTACCTTGTATGTCATCTCCAAATTGACGAGCTTGGTTTGTAACCATACTTCTGGGAGAGAATAAAACGGAACAGAGAAGTAAACCGTAGTTGATAAAAGTCATTTACCTTTTCCCTCCCAAGTGGTGGTAAGAAACAAACAGGCCAATAAACCAGACCCTAAACTGGTGACCTGAGGACTTTTTTTTCTTCCCCCTCCATTGGGCCTTGGTTACTTTGGGGTTCCTGCTTGTTTGTTTGTTGCTCTCTTCCAGGGCTGGTGGGAATGCGCCACTGTTTGGAGTATGGGCACGCCCGCATCACACCCGCGGTCCTGGTCCATAGTCTGGAGCCCGTGGAATGTGCAGAGTGGGCGGCGAGCCACGTTTGTTTGTATGTCTGTGCCCAGAATCAGCGAGTTTGGGTTTTGTACTCTGCAGTGCCCCCGCCGCCGGGGGAAATAACCAAAGGCTTGTTATTTGAGCATATGTGGTTGTAAACAAAGCCCTTTCTGTTGTGTCCTGCAGGCCATTTGCTGGAAAGGGCCTCACTTTTGAGCTTTGCCTGGTCTCTCTTCAGAGTGTCTTGCTGTGTTTGGCCTTTGGATGGAAACATCTTCTCTTGGGCAGAGCTGGAGTGTGAAGATCAGGAGAATGTTTTTGTCAGTCTTCCGCCGTGTATTTTAAAAGCAATCACAGTGCTCTCAGCACATGTGAACAAATAGCAAAAACTCTTTACATCAGGATATTATATATTCACTAGAAGAATTAAATCCAGTGTATGTCCAGATAAACCCCCTACAGAACCCTGAGGGAAAGGACATTTAATAAAAATAGGTTGCTTGAGGGGCGCCTGGGTGGCCCAGTCAATTAGTGTCTGTCTACCTTTGGCTCAGGTCATGGTCCTGGGGTCCTGGGATCGAGTCCCCTGTCGGGCTCCCTGCTCATGCTCACTCTCTGTCTCTCTTTCAAATAAATAAATAGGGATCCCTGGGTGGCGCAGCGGTTTGGCGCCTGCCTTTGGCCCAGGGCGTGATCCTGGAGACCCGGGATCGAATCCCATATCGGGTTCCCGGTGCATGGAGCCTGCTTCTCCCTCTGCCTGTGTCTCTGCCTCTCTCTCTCTCTCTCTCTCTCTCTCTCTCTCTCTGACTATCATAAATAAATAAAAAAAATTAAAAACAAACAAATAAATAAATAAGATCTTTAAAAAAAAATGTTGCTTGATGTGCATCAGCCAGCAGCTTTCTAAGACACCACCTCTCTTTCCAAGATGCTTTCCAAAGTCAACTATTCAGGCTGGCATGCCCCTTGCCCATGCCCGTGGTTCCAGAAAACAGGGTCTGTGTGTGGATAATGAAGGGGAGACACTCCCATGGTAGCGGAAGCTCGGCTGGATGCTGTGGTTCTTAAAACTAGCCATCGTGTTCTCTGCGTGTCCCCGGTGTCCATGGCTACCAGATCTCATGGTGGATGGTACCTTCAGGGCCAGGACAAGGGGGGGCCAGGGCCTCCAAGGCTGGAGTGTGGAGGTGAGGTTCTCCTTCAGATATCTCCAGTGGGCCAGGGAGCCTGAGCACTCAACCTTGGCATCTCCAGCAAGGCCTCTGCCCTCTGTGGCCTTCTGAGGTCCCTGCCACCATAGGTGCCACTCTGGGATCATGAAACCCATGAAATTAGGGTATCTTTGGATGACCAGGGGGAAGGGCTGGTGTCTTTAACTGGCTGGCATCCAGTTGGCTACTCATCCAGGCATCATAGAATGGTTGAGAGGGGCACAAAACACCTCCCGAATGTTAATTTAAGACTCCAGTGTCCCAGATTTTTATGAAATACTCAATCACACAAAGTATGTGTCATTGTTTGGCAGTTTGTTCAGGATTCAGAGAGAGCCGGGACCAAAGTTGGCTCTGCCATTCATGGGCGCGTGTGACTTCTCCAAGCCTTGAATTCTTTGCTGACACGGGAATGATGATAAGCCACGTTTCCAGAGGTGTGACAGGTCAACTTCCAGCCTCCCGCCCTCGGAGACATGGTTCAGGGATACCTTCTACTCAGTTCCCCATAGTCTCCAGCCCGGCTGAGTCCCAGGGGGTCCTGCTCAGCACCTGAATTCCTGGAGTTTCCTTCTCTGGGTCTTTCTCTCTCCACTCTTGCACTTAAACTTCATGAAGTCCCCTCCCAGATACACTCCTGCACCTAAGGCTGCAACTCGGGCTATTTCCAGATGGAACCTAAACCGAGACAGGCAAGTGCCAGCGGTGCCCTCCCCAGCTGCTGCTCTTAACTTGGTGGCTCTAGAAGGGCAAAGGGCTTCTTATTTGGTTGCAAGTCAGGAAGGCATCTGCTGCTGCATGGGGCCTGGGAGCGGCTGGCCCTCATGCCCCTGGGCCCTGGTGGAGACCAAGTCTGCACAAAAGGCTGGTCCAGAGAGCACAGGATGGCCAAACAGTTTCCCAGGGAAGACACCGCTGATGGGGGAAGGGGAAAGCTTTTGCTTGATTGGTTGATTGGCTGATTTTGGCCTGGATCTGGAAAAAGTACTTAGAAAACTATACTCATGCCCCCATCTCCATCCCAGACCTTCAAGGTCACTGATTAATGGAAGCAAGTGTCTCATTCAACCACTCAGCCTGCCTTTCAGGATCTATCCGGTCTCCCGATTCTTGTTTCCATCAGTAGCTTGACTTTCTCAGAACTGCCTAAGACACAGGCTGTCCCTCCCTGTGTCATGGCCCTTCTCCTGCTAACACCCACATGGAGCTCGCATTTCTGGCCGCTTCTGCTGAGGCTTTTCCATTCACCTGCGAACTCCTGCTGGCTCTCGTGCCTGAGGATCCCCTGCAGACGTGCATGTGTGGTGCTGCTTTAGAAAGCTGTAATTATTGTCTGGCCTGTGAATCTGCATTCCCAGGGAGCTCTGGAGAACCTGCAGAGTGTTTGGGAGAGGCTTTCTTCTCCTGTAGGTTCCTTAGCAAGAGGCAGGAGAGGAGCTTAGGGCCCTGGGCTGAATCCTTCACGAGAGAGAGTGCAGATGCTGTTGGGCTGGAATTTCCTGGGGAAAATGCAAATATGCAGCAAAGAATTTTTTCGGTTTCTGGGGGGTTGCTACTGTAAGCTCCTTGTATAAAGAGGGGAAAAAATAGTTTCCTATCAACCAAGAAGCATGATGTTTATCGCCATAGACCAGAATAGAACATGTGGCCCGCATCGGCACTCCGCTTGCTACTTTTAAGGAATTCAGTTTTGTCACGCAGCCCAGATGGGGTTCTTGATTTCCTTCTCTGTACACTACTTCCACTGTGCTTTCTTCTTTCATCTCTGCAGACCGTATGTTGCTTTTCTTGCTGCAAGAGACGATGGGCCTGGGGAGGGCCCTGCCTCAGAGTCCGCTTCCGGCTCTCCGGCCTCGTGGCTCTGGCACTGACCTCGGGAGGGCCTCCTCCCCCTCCATGCCTCAGTGTCCATCTGCAATTCCATGTTCGTAATAAGCTTCCTGCCCTCACTGGGTGCTTGCTGAGTCCCAGCGTGGTAATGCCCAGGAAGATGCCACCTTGCAGGTTGTGAATCATGCTCTACGCATGAGCCGTGGGTCTTCAGTGGGTGGAATGGGGCTTTGTGACGGGGGCTCGATGGCAAATCAGTGATGGAAGGACAGACCCTGTCTTTTGTTGGGTGGTTCCTGCAGAGCACACACCATCCTAAGCGCTTGACATATATTGTTTGACCCTGCATCACTTCTACCGAGGCAGGTGCTTGTCTTGTTGATGAGCGATGGTGAAGTGGGGCCCCCGAGGACACGCCGAGGTCAGTGCAGTGGCAGGGCTGGGATGGGATCTGCGGGCCGGTGATGAGCTGGAACCACATCCCCTGTCTCTGCTTGTCTGCCAGCCCCTCTGGGATCCTGTTCCCCACATGTCGGTCCCCTTGGGGAGTCAGACTCCCAGGGCTTTGAAATCAGCCCCTCAGCTGGGCCTTTACTGACTCCCCAGAACTGCTTGGGGACATTTGTGTCACGAGATCCGATGCACGGGAGGTGAGCCTGACGGTGTCACCAGGCCATGCTCTTTGACTCTCACTTCTGTGTTGGGACAGGGGCTCCAGAGAGGTTGCCCTGCGAGAGAGAAGGCTTGCAAACCAATGGCCAACTTCTGGGGAGGATTGGGTTGGAACATTCTTTTCCAGAACTTTGGCTTTTTCCTCATGTATTTTGTAAAACTTTATTTCTCCTTAATATCTTATCTTTCTGCCAAATCAGACTCCACACTCTTAAAGGTTATAACACCAGCTTTTCTGAACAGTCAGGATCTTTACAGAGCCCCAGCCAGGCCCTTTCAGAAGGGGCCATATTTGCCATCTTCGGAGGTCACCGGCCATGACCTTCCATCCCACAGAACTGGGACAAATGCTGAGGTGACATCAGGCTGATGTCAGTTGCTCCTGGGTCCTCTGGGTCAGCTCTCTGCCTCTGGCCTTTCCAAAAATTTTGAGTTTTTTTTTTTTTTGACTTTTTGAACCCGAGGGGGACACTTCCATGAAAAATGAATGATACTCCCAGCAGACACCACCCCAGAACATGATGGAGAGAGCATTAGTCTTGGCTGGACGCAGTGTGGCCTTTGAATTTTTTTGAAGATTTAGGGTTTTCTTGATAAGTATCTTTTTTGGGGGGCAGGGGAGAGACTGTAGAACAGCCTGAAATGATTCATTAATTGGCACACAGTCCACTAGATGTTTTTGGTATTTCAACTTGATTTTTAAAGTCCAAGCTAAGTATCCTTCTCCTGCCCCTCCTCTTATTTTTGTCTGTTTATCATTCAGTGAGTCATTAGTATGTCCATTCACTCATTCATCACAGCTTACACCGGACTCCAGAGACAGAGCAGTAAGTAAAACCAGACACAGTCCCTTCCCTCACGAACAGAGCAACATATGTCATGTGCATGCGATGCTGCTGCCCAGCACAGGTGTGTGGACCTGCAGTGGGGGCTGCTGGTACCCCGCCCAGGCCCTTGCCTGCAGGTATACCCATGTCCCAGCCACTGGGGTCTTGACTGTGATGGCTCATGGCTGATCCCTTCTCTGGAATATTGCCCCTGGAAGCTTGGTTCTCACTCCCCAGTTGGTCCACCTGTAGCACAGAGGCTAAGCAGCAGTAGGAAATGTGCCTTCTTGTCTCCAAGTGGAGACAATGCTGTGTGTAGTTTCTGTTGAAGAGGTCCCTATGGGATCAAGCTGAGTCAGCCTCTGGCTGAGAAGGAAGACAGCCTTATTTAGCTCCTTCCTCTGCCCTATCCTGCTTCTCCCTCCCCTTTCCTTTTAGAGTCCTCCTCCAATATACCCCATGCCACTGAACCCCTGCATCAAGCTCTGCTTAGAGGCAACTCGCCCCAAGACAGATGCTGTCAGAGCCCATCAAAGGAGGCATTGATTTAGCTGGGAAGTCAGGAAAGCCAAAAAGAGGAGATGCCAGAACTGAGATTTGAAAGATTAGCAGGAGTTAATTAGACAGAGGTGAATGCAAGGGTGCTCCAGGAGGAGGAACAGCATGTGCAGTGAAGGTTGCGAAGAGGCCAGTGTTTCAGAAGTAGAGGGAGCTCAGTGTGAGAGGAAGCCGAAGAGGCCAGGGGCATGGGCAGGTAGCCTTTCTAGGCTCTGGTAAGGATCTCTCCAATTGGTGGGGGCATCCTCACCCCTCACTCCCACCCCCAGGTACCCAGCCAGGACCCTTGGAGAGAATTGGAAGGTGGAGCCCAGCATGGTGGGAAACGCTAGCTCTGGGGTCAGAAGTCCAGAGCGCCAGGTCCTTTTTATCAATTAGGTGTGTTATCACTTTCTGGGCCCCAGAGTGGGTCAAAGTACTGCCACAGGGTATTTTTGCAGTCTTAGAACACCGAAGACCTGCACGGATACATTGTCTTTATGAGTAGTTCTTTCTTTAAAAAAAAAAAATCAACTTTATTTAATTTCAATTAAATAATATATCATGTATTGTTAGTTTGAGAGGTAGAGTTCAGTGATTCATCCCAGCACTCATTGTATCACATGCCCTCCCTAATGCCCATCACCCAGTTACCCCCTCCCCTCTCCCTCCAGTGACCCTCAGTTTGTTTCCTATGGTTAAGAGTCTCTTATGGTTTGTCTTCCTCTCTGAAGGGTTTATTTCCCCGGGTGTTGGGAATAACACGCTTCATCTCCTAAAACCTCCAGTACCTCATGGTCCAGGGTGCCGTCCCTGGGGACAGGGGACGCAGGAGACGATTGAGCTCTCACCGTCTTGGGAGGACTCTGACATATGTGGAAGTAAAAGCATTTCTCTCTTTCTTTTTAGGTAAGAATAGCAACAGAAAAGGCGTGAGAACCAAGAGCTCTGAGAAAGCTGCCAGCGATGATCACGGCATTCCGGTGGCCCATGACGATGTCAGAGAGGGTGAGTGAGGCTCTGCAGAGAACCTCCTGCTGGTTCCATCACTGGCCCAGGGAGGGCAGAGGCCCCTGGTGCAGCTGGCAGCTACAGATCCCCCTGGGGCTGCCTCTCAAGCCTCTTCTTTGCCATTATCGTTCCTGGGTGAGAACATTCTGAGCTGCTTGCTCCTCTGCAGTGTATGGTAACCCACAGCCACCTTTTCTGCACTGGCTCACCTGAAGTCATTTCTGAATCTCCTGGGACCTTAGGTCGCCTTCCTAGCTCTTCTCCCACTCAACCCCAAAACAATCTCATTTCCTTTCTTGTGGGGCCTCACAGCTGCCTATGTCCATGGGGTGTACATTTCTTATCTCCCAACCAGACCTAGAGGCCTCTGGAGTCAGAGAGCCAGTCTTCTGTTTACAAACCACATAATGCTAGTCTTGGGATCTTACTCCCTCATATAAATATTAGTGTTTAAATTACTTACCTCAGGTTGGTGGAAGCCATTAGTTCTAGATGCCTACCTAGGCCAACTCTGGCCTACTTGCAATAGCTCTTACTATGACTGACTATTAGCATTACTGTTACTGTATCTGTATTACCTTAAGCTCTGGTATCCAGGATCGCACTTCTGCTAATGCTGATTGCAAGCCTTTCTTAAGTGCTTCAGTTCTCAGAAGCTTAAGGCTAAGATCCTGGGCCTTATATTTGATATCTCCCAATGCTTCCCTGGGTGTGGTGGACATTATTGGTGTCATCATCACCATTATCCACATTTTATGGATAAAGAGGGTGAGATTTGGTGGTATGTGCCACGTGCCTAAGGCTATGCAGCCTCTAAGAGGCAGAACAGGGGTTTGAACTCAAGATTTTCTGGTTCTAGACTTTCTGCCCAGCAGCACAGCTGCTTAAATAAACACAGCATTTCACAAATTTGCATGTACGGGAGGCAGGGTCCGTTGTCAGCTGCTACGTGAGGCTGTATAACGTGTCACAGAGTCGATTGTCATAAGGGAATTATGTGTTCCCTTAGGCATGATGTAGTGGTCAGGGGCTGTGTTTCTTTTCTTTTTTCTTTCTTTCTTTCTTTCTTTCTTTCTTTCTTTCTTTCTTTCTTTCTTTCTTTCTTCTTTCTTCTCTTTCTTTTTTTTTAATGATTTTATTCATTTATTCATGAGAGACATAGAGAGGGAGGCAGAGACATAGGCAGGGGGAGAAGCAGGCTCCCTGTGGGGAACCTGATGTGGGACTTGATCCCAAGACCCCAGGATCATGGCCTGAGCAGAAGGCAGACTCTCAACCACTGAGCCACCCAGTGCCCCCCGGGGGTGGGGAATTCTGTGTTTCTAACCAAAAACTGGCCATCAAAGAAATCATATGAATGACTAACAGTACATCCTAAAATAAAAAGAGAAACTCAACGACAGTGAACTTCTACAACCACTTACCAAATGAGCATTATATTCCATCTTAAAGCGGGCAGGCATGTACCATACCCATTGCCATCAGGAGGACCCAGCATATTGGGGAAGGACATGTGTTGAGGACACGTGTGATGTGGGGCTGTGCTTCTGCTTGTTCAGCCTGGTGAACCCTGCTGCCTTTGGGGTCTTGATGGAATGGGTAGTGATAAGACTTCCACCTCGGGTGGGCCTTGGGCATGGCTTTTGTTCCCTTGTCCAGGCAAGCTGATCAAAACACCAGCTGTTCCTTTAGGATCACAAATGCCACAGGGTACAGCAGCTTCTAGTGCTGGCCTGCCCTCTCTATGCACTTGCTGTCATCCTATCTGGACCTCAGAGTCTTTTACTATCTTGTTAATTTTTAAGTGCTTTAAATAACAAATATTTTGTCTAGATCTTTTTTTTTTTTTTTTTTTTTTTTTTTAGTTTAGCACAGGAGTTGGTTTGAATTATTTTAGTTATTCATTACCAGAATTGGAAGTCATTCAAATTTGGGGAGGCATTTTCAAAAAGATTTTTTAAGGCCCATTTCTTTACACACACACACACTCACACACACACACACACCAGCCCACTTAGAATTGCTCCCATGGCCTCAGAGTTCTGTCTGAATGGGCTGGGGTCCCTGGTCTCCAGGGCAGCCACCGGGGCTCTGATTCACTGAGTGCGCTACAAGTGACTTTGGTCTATGAAACTCCTTTACATTGCTCCTCCATTAAAACGAAATTGAAGAATTAGGCATCACCTGGGAGGGGAGAGAAGCTGTGTGTGTTGGGGGGCGTGACAGGCAATAGGGATGGGAGAGAAGAGGACTTCAGCCATGGAGGTGCTGTGCATGGAAGCAGGTAGCAAGCAGGTAGCAAGCAGTTGGGAACACCTAATGAAGGGGTGTTCATTAGGCAGGGATGCCTGGGGGGTGGTGCGGGGTGGCATGGGGCCTCAGAGGTACCACCGGGCACTCTCAGCCTCCATTCTGTCTCTGCTCAGGTCTCCCTGGGGGAACCTGCTGGAGAGGCAGCAGAATGAAGGGGTTGGGTAGCAGGTGGAATGGATGTCACCTGCATTGTGTCCGAGGTGGCGGGTCAAGCAGATGTCACCTAAGTCATGTGCGAGGTAGCAGATGGAATAGACGTAACCTATAGGGTGTGCAAAGTGGCAGATGGAGGAGATGTTACTCGCTTCATTTTCAAGGTAGTGGGAAGTACAGGTACTAGCCCCAGCTGGTTATGTGAGCGGGTGACACCAAGGGCTTGTGCCAGACGCAGACTCTCCCCTTAGGAGCTTTTGCTTTGAGGGAGAGAACATGTACATGGGCTGAGAAGCGTGTCAGCTCTGGCGAGCATCCAAAATGCATCTTGGAGATTGTCCTAAAATAATTGGTGCAGCTGGCTGAATTATTGCTCTAGTGCTTCAGCTTTCCTTGGGTCTGCCCCTTGGCCGTGTGACTTTTTCAGTTCCCTTCATAAGACATGAGAGCCCCCTGACTTTGGGCCGGTCCGTGTGCCTCGCTGAGTCCCGTGGAATAAGGTGGAGTGCCGGGGTGCCCGTTCTGAGCTGAGGGCTTCAGAGGATTTGCTGGTTTCTCTTTGCTTCTCAGTTCTGGCCTCTGCCTCCTTTTTGTCCCCCAGCCAGACGGGCTTGTTTCTCACACCATGTCCTGTCCTGAAACACATGGCTCACGTGTTTTTCTCCAAAGGAAACTGGACAAGCATCTAAGTCGGTGATTGAGAGAACAGCGTTGGATCAGGCTCTACCCTCACTGCTGGTGCAAGTCTGGGCAAGTCCCTAATGTCTCTGTGACTCAGTTTCCTCCTCTGTAGAGTGGGGGACGAGATCCCTTTACAGGGTTATTCTGAAGGTTCATTAGTGTCCAAGGGGCACAGCACACACAGCACACAGCACGCTCTCAGCGAGCATTAACTATGGCTTTTATTTGCCATCTGGGATTTTTTTTTTTTTTTGGTGCCTCAGTTATAGGAGTTGGCAGACATTTTTAAAGGATCAGATCGTAAATATATGGCTTATTGGCCAAGAAGCAAAATTGAGGATATTATGTCATTACTTAAATAACCATTTAAAACGTAACCATTAAAAAATACCAAACCATTCTTATCTCTTGAGCCTTACAGACGCAGGTGGTGGCCTGGATGTGGCCATGACAGGGCCTGAGGCTTGCCAAGCTCTGCCTTAGAACTTCAGTTTTCTGCAGATGCTGCCTCCAGGAAGACTGCCCTGATCAACTGTCTTTCATTTTCCTACATCTCCTCCTCAGGTCCCGGTCCCTTCCTTTCTCACATCCTAGTGATTCCTATGGTGGCTCTTCTCGTCTGTGAGGATATGAGGACTCAGAGCTTGGCCTGCTCTGATGCTTCTCGGGATACACTCAGGGCCGTTGTAGCACATGACAAGAATGTCAGACTCCTTCACTGAGCACCTGCCCTGTGCTGGAACTGGTGTTCTGTATGCTCAGGTGGATTCTTCGCGGCCCGGAGGAGCAGGGCTAGCCTCCGCAGGAAATGCTCTTTGATCTGTAGGAGAGGAACGTGATTTCCCACCATCATGGAGGTAGAGTGGTTTTCCCAAAGCGATGCATGTTGGTGAACGGGATCTCCCTCATGCCTGGGCTGGGTGAGATTTGAGGCCTCAACCAGGTATCATGTTTGGGGATTGGCCTACTTCGTGTGTGCGTGTGTGTGTGACACTTGAGAGTTTTTCATTGTAGCAGAGACAGTATGGTTTCTCATCCAAGCCCTTGTTGTGAGCCTTTCCCCAGGGTTGCCTGGCTGGGCGCCTCTCTGGGGCTCAGCTCTGGGCTCCCCCAGACACCTGGCACTGCTGCAGAGGGCAGGGGAGGGAGTCCAGCGTCCTGATTCTGGAGGAGGAGTGGCCAGCATGGTCCTGGCTGCCCTAGCAGATGTGATGATACACAAGCCACATCTGTATTGCAGACCTCTTTGGAAGTGAGAGTGGAGGCAAGGGGCCAGAATCGAGATGGGATCACATCCCTCTTGGACACAGCTCGCTTGAGGAGCCTGATGGATGTGGGGCCTTGGGATACAAAGGGCTCCTCTGGGCCTTGCTAGCTCCTCCACTTTCACTGTCTCAAATGTGCCACAAAGGATATTCTTCAGTCTCTAAGGTGAAACATGTCTCATAAGGATTTCCTAGCCTTCCCTTATAACAGGGAGATATATATTTTGTTCCTCCAGTGGTTTCATGGCAGGGCCTTCACTGGGTTCGATTAGGGATCCTGGGCTCACTGCCACCCGCAGTGGGCCGTAACCCGAGTGTCTGTTAATGCCAGGTGGGCTGTGTAGCGAGCCTGGGGCCGCAGGCTGCAGAAGCCTTGGCTTGGAACCTGGGCCACAGTGGACCTGCCGGTGTTCAAATACCTTACCTGGTAAGGGGCCAGGGGCCAGGGCTCCGATGTGCTTGGGAGCACCCATGGGCTCCGCTCATTTCTGTCACCCAGCTGAGCCCAGGCTTGGTTCTGGTCGACCAACAGTCACATTTGTCCATACACAGAGCAGAAATTCTAGTGTGGCGACTTCTTTGAGT